TCTTCTTCTCTACTAGGAAGCAACTTTCCCCTCTGGGTGGTTGACGGGTGCTTTAGTGTGGATTGTGGTTTGCTCCTTCTTTCCTGTCACACATCTATCATCCTGATCTCCCCTCCTTTTTTGTGTTTGTTACTCTCTTGTAACACCTGTAATCTTCGTCACTTATATGGCCTTATTGTGTTGCAAGTGCCGTAGAACTCGTACTAAAACTATAAACTAAGTTTCCCTCTCCCCTCCTCTATCACGAAAGAATGGCTTTGTGCAAGGTTTGTTGTCTTCAAACCCCCACACACACACACACACACACACAGGGCAGTGCTACTGACTGAAATTTCTTTAGGCCATTCCCAAAGGGGGGACATTAACATGGTCTTATACACAGTAGAATTGTAAATGGGCTGATTCATCAATGTCATGCTCATAAGTGTGCCTGAACTGCAACAGGGAACTGCTGTTTTTTATTTCCTAATCCTTACTATGGTCATTTTTCCTCTACTTCTTTTGTATGTTTGTCACACTCTTGTGACCCGCTATTTCGGGAGTGCCTTGATAGTCGAAGCAGACTTTGTGCTGTTGAAGCTAGAGAGGTGAGCAAAGTAAGTCTGATTCTCTGTATGGACTTCTCGGTTGACATCCACTTGTTGGCGCTTATATGACCTTATGCGGTTGAGAGTGCCGTAAAACCTCTACTAACACTGGAAAAAAACATCTATTATCTTCATCTCCCCTCCTTCTTTTTTGTGTTTGTTACTCTCTTGTAACACCTCTAATCTTCGGCACTTCTATGACCTTATTGTGTTGCAAGTGCCGTAAAACTCTAGCTAAAACTAAACTAAACTTTTCCTCCCAGGCAACAATGGCTTCAACAACGGCTACCCTCGCGGGGGTCGCGGAGGCTTCAGAGGTTCACGGGGAGGCGGTGCCCCCAGCGGCAACAACAGGAACGGCGGGCCAGGCCCCATGCAGAACGGCTTTGGGAACAGAGGAGGCGGGCCAGGCCAGAACAACAGTCGCGGAGGGAGAGGTAATTATTATAATAATAATAATAATATTAATAGATTACATACGCAAGGCCCTGAGACAGGAAACGTGGCCAACCCCAGTGACGCTACAAGAGAAGCTATACGGGCCGACAGATGAACTGAGCAGGACAGCCCAATTTATGACTGATACCAGACTTCGAGTGTGATGCGACAGAGAAGAAGAAGAAGATAGATTGCATTTATATAGCGCTCTATCCCATAGTAGTATAAGCTCTGAGCGCTTTACACCAATCACAGAATCAGTCACAGAAGGAAAAATATTTCACTGAAACAAGAAAAACCAGTTCAACCACATACAGAAGAACTTTCACAACCATACATTAACTATACACAGGTGGGTGGTGGTGGTTCCCCTTGTCTGTGGAGGATGGAGGGGGCAGATGTTTTTTTAGGAGAAGTTGTTGTTTTCAAATCGCTTTAGCTACGAGCATTTCGCTCTTGGCAGCGCAATGCCTCCTTCAAGTAACCACATGTCCTTGCCAGAGTAGAGCAGGCTTTTTTATGGGATAAATCTGGTAAAGTAAATCACAGGAATTCTGTGTTTGTTGGAATGTGTTCTAGTTTTTTTTTCTGGAAAATCATTTTGGCGCTGTGACCTGATCAGATAATTTTCTCCATCGCATTATTACACCATGTGGCGGCAAAGTCTAAAATAACCCTTGCAATGTTGAGCATTTAACTTGATACAATTTCCTTTTTTCCAGGTGGCACTTTCCAAGGGTACCCTCCCAACGCCAACTACAGACCCGACAGTTTCCAGGGCAACTACAACGCCGGGGGATTTGGCAAGTTCCAGAAGCGAGGGGGCATGAACAACGCCGGGGGTCCTGGCAATGCTGGGTACCCGCGCGGAGGACCGGGAGGCAATGGGGGCAGAGGCGGAGGTGAGCGGGTGGTGGGAGGGTGCTCTGGTGGGGTTTGTTGCTCTTTCTTTCCTTTCAGACCTGTCTTCCGTATCTTTTCCTCTTTTTTTGTTTTTATATGTTACTCTCAATTGACACCTCCGGTCTTCAGCACTCGTACAACCTTTTTGTGTTGCCAGAAATGTACAACTCATAAACTGGCATCGTTTTTAGTACTTCCTTACTATTCCCCCCTGTACCCCCCC